ATCTAGGTTTTTAAGATTTTGGGGGAAGTTTTATACCAAAGCCTGGTAGATAAGGCTTTGGGGTACACTTGCTGGCCCCCACTTCTGCATTTATCATGCCAGAGGGGGGAAGGAGCCATGACAGGGAGAACCAGCTGCACATCTTTTCCACATCCCACCCTTACTGCACTGAGGGAAAGGGGCACCTCTGCCCATGTCAGGCCAGCCAGAACTCCCAGAAGGGCCAGCAAGGAGGGAGCCATGACAGGGAGAACCAGCTGCACATCTTTTCCACATCCCACCCTTACTGCACTGAGGGAAAGGGGCACCTCTGCCCATGTCAGGCCAGCCAGAACTCCCAGAAGGGCCAGCAAGCCCTTGTCTTCCAGCAGACTGTTGGTAAAGTGCCAATAGACCAGAACTGGCTCGTCCAAAGTAAGAGAGCCATCAGAGCCAGCAAATAGTAGACTGAGAATAGGGCTGGCCTAATGCTGGAGGAGTGGGCCCGTGAAAGATAATGTTGAGAAAAGGAAAAGTGATCCAACCAAAAATGGCATGACCGATGTCCCTCCACTTGGACATAGGTACTTGAGTCATTGTCTGGGAGGTGGTCATACCAGATGCTGTAGCCAGACAGAAACCCAACCCCAACTCTCTCTCCCCCCCCCTCCCTCTGTCATCCTTGGCAGAGAGAATCCTAGAGAGGGAAACAAAATACAGGTCTATGTAGCACTTTAAAGACTAACAAGATGGTTTATTAGATGATGAGCTTTCGTGGGCCAGACCCACTTTCTCAGATCAAAAAGATGAAGAAAATAGTCACAACCATATATACCAAAGGATACAATTTAAAAAAATGAACAAATATGAAAAGGACAAATCACATTGCAGAACAGAAGGAGGATGCGGGGGGGTGGGAAGGGGGAGGAAGGAAGGTAAGTGTCTGTGAATTGCTGATATTAAAGGTAGGGAGAGTGGGATGTTTGTGAGTTAATGGTATTACAGGTGATAATTGGGGAAACTGTCTTGATAATGGGTGAGAAAGTTCAAAGACTTGTTAAGTCCCTGGTGGTAAGTGTCGAATTTTAACATGAATGACAGTTCAGAGGATTCCCTTTCAAGTGCAGGACCCCCTGTGGGAATGGGCGTCACAAAGACATTCCAACTTAATTGGCATTTTAATGACAAGAGAAGTGTCTATGTGACCACAGGGGTATAAAGTAGGGCCCTGTGCCCCACTCTAATTGGAGATCCACCCATATACCTGCTGGTCAGGCGGTCTTGGACCCCCAAGACTTTAGGGATGCTGTCTCGTACTGACTGCTTCCCATTGGGATTGAGAGAAATGCTGGCTTCGCCGGAGTAAAGATCGCAGGGGTGAGACTATACCTGCTAGGTGTATATTTTTGCGCGCGTTTAATAAGAGCTCAGAGAACCAAAAGGGTTTCATGGTACCTGTAAGTGACTTTTATTGTAATTTCTGTCTTTTCCTTTTGTAGTGGCTGTGTTATCTGTAACACAGCAGTTACATTTAACAGCTAAGCTTGCTTTGTAACAATAAAATAGTAACTGTTTAAGATTTCAATCTGACTCCTCCCTTGCTGTAACAGAACCAAGCACAATTTAAAAGAATCACAGCTGGTCAGGGGTAAAAGCAGTAAGAGCTGAGCGTTGGGTTGTGCCGCCTCCACGGGGCAAACTCTTGGGGTGCCTGTCAGCCTTCCTGGCTGCCCGCTGTGAAGGGACTTTTGTCCTAGCAGTCAAAGACTCGGGTGTAATAAGCTCTTTCTGTACCACCTTGGGGCACCCGTCAGCCTTCCTGGCTGCCCACTGCGAAGGGACTCTGTCCTAGCAATGAAGACTCTGGTGTGTACTAGAGCTCACAGACCACTCACTGCCCCGGCCACCGGCTAACAGTTGTCCACCAGGGAGTGGTGATATATAATCTCCCATGCAGTTCCAGTCTTTAAGGAAGCAGTTGAAATCCACACTTGACACCAGGCACTCACAAGGATCTGAACAGCTGAGGAAGGGAGTGACTGCTGAGGAAGATGGACCATGCAGTTTGTCTCTCAGCACAATGGGGATCAGGGTCATAGACACCTGAATATCTGCCAGTTGTAACCCCCTTCCAGCCACATGGCCAATCAAGATGGGCAAGTAGGGATCAAATCCACAATGGGTGGGAAAAATAAATTAACAAAAGAACCACAAAGTAAGAGGCCTCTGAGAAAATAGGGGGGCCAAATGGGAGCAAAATGGCCAGAGTGAGATGGGAAGGGCAGGCAGCAAAGGGAAAGGGGACAAACTACTATATAAGTGATACCAGAGGGCAGTGCAGAGGGAAAGGGAACCCACTGGCCAAACAATTAGGGGAGGGAGGGTAAAACCAAGGGAAGGAGGGAAAGGCGTGTCCATGGATGCTTGAATAGCAAAGCTGGTTTACTGCTGTGAAACCCCAAGTGAGTCAGTAAAGGGAGGAGGTGAGTAGTGAGTGGGACAGGGTGGCAGCAGTGGTGGTAGCAGAAGAGGGAGCTGGACTGTGGGGAGGACTTCACGCTTCTACCCCATTCCTCTTGTAGCCAGCTGGACACATGGCCCCTCCATTGAAGTGTGGCTGGCTGGACACAAAAGCCTGTTCCTCCCCTTATTTTGTACTTCTAGTTCTCTCAGCTAAAACTTGACTAGATCCAAGCAAATATGGTCTACACAAGTTCTGCTAGTCGAGTTTCCTGTTAAGGCTAAGCACTTATTTTAGTGTTGTTAAACGGATGCAGTTTAGATCATTTCTGTTAACTCAGCAAATATGGTTTTTAAATAGCTTCCCGTCATGTCAAAAAGTTCCTATAATATTAAATGTTTTGCAGCTGTATTCCTGGTTATGACTATGTCTGAGTGCATGAGGAAGTGTGAGTGGGAAATATCCAATCCCAAAGCAGTCTGGCTTTTCATGACCTTTTAAGGCAAAGAAAAACCCTGCAAGTGTATAATTAACATGATGAGTGGCCAGGAGTCTCTCTCTCTCTCTCTCTCTCTCTCTCTCAGAGAGATGTAACATCACAGCAGAAACCTGGGGCTGTCCCAGAGAAGAAAGCCCTCTCGCAGATCTAAGGGATCTCCAGGGATCTGTGGCCTCATGGTCAATCTCTGGGAAGCTGTTGCCTGGCCAAATCTAGCCGCCTGTGAAATCGGAAGAAATCTATGCCACACCAGTAGCCTGCCTCCAGAGTGCTAGTATGTGTGATGCACATGTGAGTATTATCGTACCCCTAAGAATTTACATCAATAAACAGTCTTCAGCACTGTTCCAGTTAACCCTTTGTCTGAGTTCATTCCTCAGTTGGTCCGGGGACAGGTAACAGCCCCAAGCCAACTAAACTAGCTATCACCAAAGGGACCATGATAGAAAAGGCCCAGCACCAACTCCCTCCCTAACAGCAAGCTGTGAAACCTCCAAACACTGCCCTAAGTATCTCCTCTACCTCTTCACCAAGGGCAAGAGCACCAGTAGCAGTGGTAGAGGACCAGGTCAGCAGCAGCCAAAGAGCCAGGAGAGATCCCAAGCAAGACCCCTCCACTGTCCTGAGAAAAGGTAGGCCAGCACAGCTCCCCCAAAAGCTCTGGTAGCTATTGGTGAGGGGGGTGGGGGGGAGACCAACAAGCTAGAAGTGGGACCTGGCCTAGAAGAAATTAGCTGAGGCCCTGCACACCTCAGCAGCCTCATACCCTACAAGGGGGGAGTGGAAGCCCTAGTATGTTAGAAATCCTTTTTCCTACCAGCTGAGAAGGAGTTCCCTCAGGTCAGTTAGGAACACCAGAATCTGATTAAGGGCTACCTGAGATATTTTTAAAAGCATCCCCCCCAACATACTCACACCTCCCCACACACTGGTATAGCGAAAGCGTTATGTGCTGGGGGAGGAGGAACTGCTCCAGACTGTACAAAGGGGGCAGCAGTGGCTCCCAACACAGGAGCTGTTGAAGCTCCTGCTCCCACTATCCGACCCTGTCTCGGCGGCTTGTCTGCAGGGAGTAAGTAGCCCAGCAGCTACATTGGCGCCCCCCTATAGTGGTGCAACTGTCCCCCACCTGCTGGTTGACCCTAGCTACACCACTGTCCCTATACCCTTGTTTCAGGGAGAAGGAGAGAGACCAGCTGAAACCAGACAAGGAAGCCTCTTCTCCGGGAGAGAATGTGCTCCTTCCCATAGGGGAAGGAGCATCCTTAGGTTTACCCCTTAGATACAAACAAGCGAGTGCAGTAGGGGGGTGGCAACCTCTGCCTGAGAGGGGCTAATTACCCCAGCCCGCCATTGCCAGAGGGGAGAAATGCTAGGGCTGGTGAGAGAAAAGAGGCCTTGTCACACTGAACAGTTTGGGTTCCAGCTTGTATGTCCAGATGCTATTACATAAGACCTGATGACTGAATTTTTTTAATCTCTGAGGATACGTCTACACTGCAACACTATTTCGACATAACCAGTGCTATTCTGAAATAACTTAGTCTGCATCTGCTCAGCAGGCAGTTATTTCAAAATAGCGTTAAAATTCTGTCAAGCTGGAGGACTTCTCACTCCGACTCCTGTAACCCTCATTGTATGAGGAATAAGGGAAGTCAGAGGAAGAGTGCTCTGTTTCGAAATACGTGCTGTGCAGATGCTCCCAATTTCAAAATAAGCTGCGCAATTTACAAAGCTCAATTTGCACAGCTTATTTCGAGCTAAGCCCTGCAGTGTAGACGCACCCTGGCAGCCTTGAGTGGGAGGAAGGAGACAGCACAGTCGCAGCAGCTGCTGCTTCCACATCTGGGGCCAGTCTGCTGTTATAGATTGCAGCTTCATGAGGTGTTCAGAGGCATGGCCTTGGGGAAAAGGGTTTTTGGAGGGGGGAAGTCAGGAGTGGGGCCTTAAGGGCCCAGTTACCACCCATTGAAAAGGTAGGAATCCTGTGAACCGCATTCCTTTCTCTTTTCTGAATTGGCTGCTCCATGTAGCTTGCACTTACCTCATTATAGAGCTTCATCTTGAAGTGGTGGAAGTAGTACCATCTGTGAGCTTCGCTGGAGGGGAGCGAGTTGTACTTCATGACGGCATCGTAGCCAAACTTCTGAAACTCACGCTTTTCATTGAAGAGGATGCACGTTGGGGTCTTCAGAGTGTTGAGCGCGTGCTCCTGCCCCCAGTACACCTGCCGGATTTGATCTGGCCGTGTTGCGAGAGAAAAGCAGTAGCCGCTGTAAGACGTGCCAAAATCAATGGCAACAATGAACAAGGACTTGCTTGCCATGATAGTGAACTGGAGAGACTCCCTAGCCGATGTCCCTTGTTAGAACTGAGTACTTTGCAAAAGTGAAACCATTTTGCAGTTAACTCTACACTATAAAACTGCCCCTTCCTTTCGATTGGCTTAAGAGATTAGAACTTACTACTTTGCAAAAGTGAAACTGTTTTGCAGTTAACTCTACACTATAAAACTCTACCCCTCCCTTTCGACTGGTTTAAAAGATCAGTGCAAACTGTGGTGAAGGTGGGAATAGCCAGGGCTCTCTGCATACATTTTCCAGGGAAGGCCAACTTAATTCTATTGAGGTTTTGTGCTACCAGAGATCTTGTAAGTGCCAATGCTGTAGTTAAGACTGCTTTCTCTGCTTGTTTATTCGTCTTCTGCTCAACCTGTTTCCTCTCACTCTCTTCCTGTTTGCCAAGGACATTGTTATTTGAATAGAAGCATGGAGCAAAGCACTGACGAAACTCAGCCAGATGCTTCACAGAACAAGACCCTTGCTGACAGAACTAGGTCTTCAGAGGAGACCTCCAGGTATGTTGGGCAATGGGCACAGTAGGAAATCAGAGCATGTTTAGTGGGAGCTCTAAGTTTCTTTTTAAAAGTGGCGGCGTGACTTACATGCAGAGTTCTCCCTGTTGTCAGTGTCTGTAGCCAGACACTCCATATTTCTGTTTGTTAATATTTGCATGTTTCACACTGGGATAAAGAACACAGATGTGCAACCAAAAAGACACAATTCTGCACTTTTCCTGCCCTCCCCCTCTATAAAATATGAAAGCATTTTGCCCCAGTTGGAAAATTGCCATTTTTATTTACAGTGGTTTCAGTGGAAAATGATTGTTTCTGCGCACACAGTGAGGGGGGAACAGTGGTTGCTTTTTCACCGAACTTGGCTTTTTCTGCACATATGAGATCACCTACAGGCACACACACATGGATCCTGAATGATCCCATGGTTAGCAGCAAAATTTTGCCAGTATTCATTTGTGCAGGAAGTCTTAAATAAAGACTAGCAGGAGGAATAACGGTAGTTCGAATTAGGAGCTTTAATTTGAACTACCTAGTCCGTGCCGCGTGTAGTCGCGGGCAAGTAGTTCGAACTACGGGGCATTTAAAAATGATAGCGCCCGGGAACATGCAAATGAAGCCTGGGATATTTAAATCCCGGGCTTCGTTTGCAAGTTCGAATGCCTGCATTAGCCACCCTAGTTCGAACTAGGGTAGCAGTGTATGCCACTCATCAAGGTAGTTGTTTCTATGCCCCTTCCACATAAAATCCATAGCACTCGTGACAGCTAGTGGATTTCATGGGGACTCTGGCACTTCTTCTTTCTTTGTCTCAGAAAGGTAACCATGTTAGTTTATAACTTTAAAAAGGAGTAGTCCTCTGGCACCTTAGAAACTAACCTATATATATATATATATATATATAAATATCTTTTGTGGGCAAAACCCACTTCATGAAATCATAGAATTCTAGAATATTAGGACTGGAAGGGATCTCCAAATGAATTGGAACTTAAACTCACCATCAGACTGCTTTAGATGCCAAAAAAAATGTGAGCTGAAGTGCTGAAAAGCAGAAGTGATAAGATCGGAATCTAAAGTTTGAAATGAAAGATTCTTCCTTTTTAATCATAATCTGACAGAGAGCAGCTGATGTGGAAATGCTGTTTTACTTAAAGTATAACAGTAGTTAGTAGCTTCCCAGCATAACAGAATGATTCATTCTTGAAATCTCCTTCTTAATACCAGAATGCTGAATACCAGCAACTGTGACCCAGCAATGACTTTGAGTAGCTTCATAGAGTCGAGCAAATATTTATTCCTCTTGGGTAACTTTGCCTGGGATGGAGTTTTGCAGATGTTTAAAAGATTTTATTAATTTCCTCTATTTCTTTCATGATTTGGGTTCACAGGCGGTGTTGGTGCTGCCCTTCTGACATTGGGAAGGCTTCTAATGAGTTATGTGTCGTTGATGATACATTTGTGCCCCACAGAGGTGAATATGAGGCTTCACAAGACAAACTCTTGGGTAACTTTGCCTGGGATGGAGTTTTGCAGATGTTTAAAAGATTTTATTAATTTCCTCTATTTCTTTCATGATTTGGGTTCACAGGCGGTGTTGGTGCTGCCCTTCTGACATTGGGAAGGCTTCTAATGAGTTATGTGTCGTTGATGATACATTTGTGCCCCACAGAGGTGAATATGAGGCTTCACAAGACAAAAACACAGCTTTGGGTGGAACCAATATAGAACAATGGGAGAAATGTTTGGAAGACACACACAGGTAATTTTGGGGATCTGAAGGAACCGTCAAACAAGTGTTCATGTTCCTAATGGATCCCTGAGATTCTCACCATTCTTGTTGTTTGTACTCTTTGACTTTTATTGAGACAATGGCTCATTGACTGGCACAAGGGACAATGTGAGACTCTCTTGTCTCCAGAGACTCAGTGCTCTGCCTTGGCACCATGGCTTGGTGCTGACTCTTAGAGAAAGAGACAGGGAAACGGTGGCTAGAATCATCAAAGGTCTCCCATATGGCAGAGCTAAGGTAGTCAGATAGCAAGTATGAAAAAATTGGGACAGAGGGTGTGGGATAACAAGTGCCTATATAAAACAAAGCCCTGAATATTGGGATTATACCTATAAAATTAAGATATCTGATCACCCAAAGCAGAGCAGTGATCTTGAAGCCAGCTGGCTGAGCTGATATGTTTTTAACTGTGGAAGTTTTGTCAGTTTTTCTAACTAATAATTTTGGGAGGGGCTGTTTTTTTGCAGATCTTATTATTTCATGAATACTTTAAATCTAATCCCTTTGCATCTTTTTGTTCCCGACAGTGAAATGACACCTCAATTTAAAGATGTACTGAAACGTATACAGCTTTTGGAAGAACACTGCAGGTAAGCATGGTGGGTGAAGCCTCAATGACAGCGTGAAATATTTTGATTCCTTCTAAAATTCCTACCACACAAAAGAAATTCTAAACACACCTGAAAATTCTTTTCTCCTTACCAAATTTAGAGAGTGCTTATGGGTATTAATACTAAAATATCAATCTGCCTGGTGATTGGAGTAGCACTATTTCTCCGAGGGTGTGTCTACACTGCACTGTTATTTCGAAATCACAAGTGTTATTTTGAAATGACAATGCCAACATCTACATCAGTGTTTCTTACACTTTTTAATATCGAGGAACACCAAACAATTTTTTTATGAGAAACACAAAGGATTTTTTATTGAGGAAAAAAAAGTTGGCAGGGGGAAGGACCGGGGGAAAAATTATTGAGAAAAAAATGGTTGTGAGAAAGTTATTAAGGGGAAAAAAAGGTTGCCCACCTTTTATAGGTAGCCATTTTGAATTCTGTCCTCCTTGGCAATCCTCTGACTGCCTTGCAGCACACTGGTGTGCCACGGAACAGAATTTAAGAAACACTGATCTACACACTTATTACTCCATGAATATTTTAATTCTAATCCCTTTGCATCTTTTGTGCCCAACAGGAAACTGAATCCTCAATTTGAAGTTCTACTGAAACGTGTACAGCTTTTGGAAGCACACCGCAGGTAAGTATCGGTGAAGCCTCAATGACAGCATGAAATATTTTGATTCCTTCTAGAATTCCTACCACACAAAAGAAATTCTAAACACACTTGACCAAATTTACAGAGTGCTTATGGATATTAATACTAAAATATCAACCTGCCTACAGATTGGAATTGCTCCATTTCTCCAAGGGTGTGTCTACACTACAGTGTTATTTTGAGAAGACTAGCGTTATTTCGAAATAAGAATGCAAGCATCTTCACCAGGGTTTCTTAAACTTTTTAAGACCAAGGAACACCAAAAAATATTTTTTTTAGGAGGAACACCAAGGATTTTATGT